AAACGTCTTCAAGCAACTTAAAGAAGTCCAGACGCTTTTCTTTGCAAGCTCCTTTGACTACGATGACCTGGATGACTGAGAACCTTCACAGACATATAATAATACAGAGAAATTCCCAACAACCAAACAACCCCCTATTTGCTCCTAGGGTTCGTTTGGTTGATAGTGGGAAGAAAAAACTCCCTTTTAACAGGAAGAAACTTCCAGCAGAACCAGGCTCAGTGAGGGGAGATAGACCGCACAAAGACAAAGATTAATAACTTAAAATTAAATGTGTCTATCTCCCGAATTGGGAGCTTGTTCCACAGAAGAGAAGCCTGGAAGCTGATCTCTATTTAGACTAAAAGCTATTGCTACTGATACCCACTAATGTGTGATCACATTTATGTGAATTAATTTAAGTAATTCTACTTACAATGTAAGTGATATTTCCATTTGGGAATGCCCTAAATAATTACAGTAATTATTAACAGGAAACCTGGTAACTACCCTGGGATATTTGTAGCGGACGCTCCATTTTTGTACCAGTAGGTGGCAGTGTGAGACCATGGTCTGGCCTGTTGTTAGCAGCCTGAAGCGCATGCTCCGCTCTGTTTTCTCATAATGGCGGGGTATTCAGGAACGGCAAGCCACGTCTCTTGTCTGATCATTTCTTTCTTGTTTACAGGTTCGTATTGTGCCCGAAATAGAATATAACAGCAATTGCATCCATTATATAGCATAGATTAACCATTGTGGTTGGAAACTGAAAGCGCACAAAGTTGTGTAGTACAATAAATTAGACTTTTGTCAGTATTTGTTTCCAGCTTTAGCAGCATGCTATGGTTAGCATGTTAGTTTGGATCGCTCCTATGCTCTGTGATGTTAGTGATGGCTCCACCGTTATTGTGTATTGTTTTAGTCTCTTGTTTTCTGCCATAAAGTGTTTCCGTGAATTCAGTGCACATGTCAAGATGGTGCTGATTACGCCATTCTTTAAAACTATTTGAGATTTATAGATTTGTCTTGTTGGAATTCGTTTTGAACAAAGTCTTACAAGAATATTGGTCATGTTTATGACGTTGGAATGTGTTAATTCCCTTTTGTCTAATTGGTAACAGAACACATATGGAGAATGTGTGAGCTATGTTTAGGAATAAGTAAATACACAGTTGTAATACTATAAAAGTAATAAAAAGGAGTGCATAATTGTGAATTTAAATAAATAATGGCGGAGTATTCAGGAACCGCAAGCCACGTCTCCTTGTCTGATCATTTCTTTCCTGTTTACAGGACACATACATAGCTGTCTACAGGTGCTGCCACCCGGTACCTGTAACAGTTTTCTGGGGGCTGGTCCAGGATCAGTCCTGCCTTTGTGGCTGGGAGTGTGACAGGTTGAAGGACTACTGCATATAAAACTGTTCAGTTAATACTAATTCATATCAGTTGATATAAGGACGAAAATAATGTAAATATGGTAAGAAAATGGTTAAGCGTTTATTATTTTTCATGTTATATTAATGGCTTTCATGTTAC